ATGATAAATTGTTTTAAGTGTGCAGGTCTTCTCCAAAAGGCTACACCACCACGAGATCAGATAGAAGCCTAGGCTTCCATCCAGGTTCGAGTCACGCTACATACAAGAAGGATACGCAGTTTACAGTAGTAGAACTATTCATTATATTTTGTATTTTATTTAGTCAAGTTTCCGATGTGTGATTCATATTCTTTAACAAGGTGTTGATCTCTTCTTTCCCCGTGTGTGTGTTAGTGGTTCCAAAGAGAAAAAAAAAAGGGGGGGGGGGGTTTTTAGTAGGGTGGGCATTGGGATTGGAAAACTGGAACACCAAATCGGATCAGATGAAAAAAACTGAAGAAAAAAAAAAAGTTGACCAAAAAAGCCAACAAACTGCCAGTGAACTGGACTGGACTGACTTTGATTTCAATTTCACATTGCACCAAATCCGATCAGACCGAATCGGACTAATTTTGTATAATTGTTTTTACAAAATTATTTAAATTCAATGCTACATTTTTAATTTTATAACTAATACTTTTCCAAGGCCAATTTCAAAGCATCTCTTTTTGTATAAATTGGATCATTTGTTAATTTTCAAGTCAAAAAAATAAATGTTTTGTTAGAATATAAAAATAAATAAAAAACAACCAAGGTGGTTGGTGTGAGTGGTTTGGCACTCTCATTCCTTAAGAGAGGTCAGGGGTTCGATCCTTGCTCTCGTACGGAGTCACCACTTTGGCCAACACTTTACCCCTTACGGGCCGACCCGATGTGAGTGAGGATTAGTCTGGGTTGTGGTTAAGGCTTAAAGGTGAAATGTTTTGTTAGAATAAAAAAATAAATAATCCGGTTCAAAGCTAGAACCGATGAGAACCGAACCAGCTGGTTAAAAAAAGATTAGTAAAACCAAAGTAGACCACTTAAATAGCACCGATTCTGATTTCAGTTTGAGATGATTACTAGACCGAACCGAACTGTTCCCAACCCTAGTTTTTAGCTAGAAACGTGAGAACCTATTCCTTCACCTCCTACTTCACGAGTTTCTCTTTCCAGAAACCCATTCTATCTCTTCTTCCTCCTTCAACTTCTTTATACCATAACTTTCATTCTACAACTCCAACCGTTTTGTCCATTAGGATCGTAGGAACGAGCTCTACAAGAAAGGTAAACCATTCTTGGATTTGGTTAAGTTTCGAAAATCTCCTCTTTTTGAGCTCGTGACTGATTAGGCTTTAATATCTTGATTCCAAGCGTGGTTTGGGAGAATGGTGGTCGCTAGGCAGCTCATTGAAGGTTGAGGATTACTTTGGAGCTGTTAAGGTAAGATTTGTTTACCACACTTGCTGCTGGAATTCTAAAGTACATTGATTTAAGTGAGATTGTATAAGTGATTTTAGATGTTATTTGATGACATGCAAGTACACTAGGTGAAGAATCTACCTTGGGCTGAACCTACAGAGAACTCAGAGTAATTTTTGGGTTGAAGTGGAAGTTGGGTAAGTTTCTACTTTCAAGTTTGTGGCCTTGGTAGTTGGGTGTGTTGAATAATTCTGAGTTTGATGAGGATAACAGTCATTTTTTTATCTTGAATTTGGGACTGTTCTGGTGTTTAAAGCTTCTTAGAACTGAATGTCAAAGAATTAGATGGATGTTGATGAAATCTGCATTTATGCAGAAATCTGAGTATGTGTTCTGTTCTGGACAGAATGACCCAGTTCGCACTTATGTTTTAAACTGGGTTTTTGATGTGTGAAAAATAGACATTTCGATGAGTATTTCAAAACTGATTTCATTCAAATTGGAGTTAAATTGGATTTTTGGCAAATTTTCAAAGTTGGCATTATTCTGCAGAAAACAGAAAACTCTGCAGCCGAGTCTGTTTTGGATTTAGTCTTTGACTGGCTTCCTTAACTCGGAATTCGATGAACTTTTGATATTTTGAAGTTTTATATGTCTACGTGTGATGTGGAAATGTTCACACCATTTTGAATCAAAATGGATTTTTAATGATTTTCCAATGGCAAAGTGTTCCTGCCTAAATTGTTTAACAAAACTGAAGTTTCTGTTTTTAATGGAAATCTTTGATTTCTTTTATAAGTCCAGATCAGAATCACATGATCAGAGGCTTTCCTAAGAGATAGAATTGTCGTAAGAAATGGATATATTGGTTTAACAAACCCAAGAAGTGGAAGTGGGCTGTAAATCAAAGTGTTAATGTGAGTTGGGGTTTGATGTTGATCCTTGTTGTTTATAGGGATTTCTGACTCTCTTGGAGCTCTACTGTGGCGTTTGGTTTTACGGTTGTGTGGACACCAGGTAGGGGGTCTTCACGCCTTGGTTAGAGGTTTTCCTGTGTATATGTATGTGAATATTGATGCGTGAGAACTCTGTATCGTGTTTGGTTGCTAGTATGCATGTTAGGGAAATGGATTTGATTATTTACAGCATGCCCTTCTTGTGATACACTTTATACTTAATTTGTGACCTGAGAGTGAAAGGAGCCGTGTGACTACCTTGGGGTTTCGATCCCCTAAACCTCCGGAGGGGCTTGTACGGATGAAAAGGTAAAGGTGGTGCCCCTCACCTTCAGTAAGTTGCAACTATATATGCTTCAGTAATTAAAGACCGCGTCAATAAGAAAAGAAAATTCAGCTTTTGATGACATGGAAGGTGGTAGGAAACTGCTTCGTCAAGCCCGCATAAATCGAACCAGAGCGTCACTGCCGTACCCAATTCTTTGAGCTTCTCCATACTTGTAATTATCTGCCTCCTATCTATGACCACTCAACCAGTCTCTTCTTCTCCTTCTTCTTCTTCTTCTCCATATGATGTCTTTCTAAGTTTTAGAGGCGAGGATACACGCACCAATTTTACAGATCATTTGCACGAGGCTTTAGTCCGTAAGGGAATCCGGACCTTC